AGAGGGAGAAACAGGCTTCCCGCAGAGCAGGGAGCCCGATGCGGGGCTCGATCCCAGGACCCTGGGATCATGACCTGAGTCGAAGGCAGACGCTTAACGACTGAGCCACCCAGGTGCCCCTTAAGTAGTAAATTTAAAGAGACTGTCGGTTTTAGTAGATAGAGAAGTAAGGATAGAGTTTGTGGAGCTGACCTAACAGTTATGCTGGATCGTACGCACATAGAATTTGTATTTTTTACCAGTGCCCCTGAGACCCAGACTCCAGACATTAGGGGTCTAAGGCCATGTTCTCTGACCATAACCCTAAATAAGCACAGAAGTCCTGAGAAGATTTAGCCAGAAACATTTCTGCTGCTTGTGTATTCAGAACTCTTTTCCAGCATGACACCACATACCCACGGTGCAGGGTGTGGTCAGATCTTACTCAGACACCGAGGGCTTCTGGCCGAGGACCGTCAGTGCCCCAGGCATCAGGCCAAGAAGTCAGAGAGGCCGAGTCCATCTCGGCCTATGCCCGGATTTCAGAGGAGAGTCCGGAGGAGCTTGTGCTTCTGTCCCTGTGGCGTTTACACCTGCTCCGGCTGCCTCTCCTCATCACCTCCATGCTGATTCTCCCTTGCCGATGGGAAAGGAACACAGAGGGCACCTTCTGTCCTGTCCTGTCCCTGCATGAGGCTGGTGGGGCCATCCATGAGGCAGCAGGCTGACCTCAGGGCCACTGTAGGCCAAAGCTCCCACGTCCCGTGTCCCCTCTGGCAGGGCTTGTCCTTCAGCCCCAGCCCTGCACACTTACCCACCCACTTAGTGCTGTGGGCGACTTGTGGCCTGACCCCGGGCCCCCCGTGAAGACGGTGGTTGCTGCTTTCAGCTCTGTGGGTGCAGGGTGGGCTGCCTCTGTTCACCCCTGAAGAGACCGTTTCCAGGGGGGTTAACTGAAAAATGCAGAGAAAACCCCAGCATGCCACAGGATGGGGAGGGAGGGCCCCTGCGGTGGACAACAGAGGGGCCCCCGGCAACCTGGGAAGGAGTCCAGCCCTCCCTCCCCTGACAAGTTAGAGGGATGTGTGTTTAGGACAACGGAGAAAGTTTCCGTCCTCACTCAGTGGGGGGGAAAACAAGACTACAAGCAGGTAAAGGCCTGTTAGAAATGAGCTGTAGTCTCTCTCTGCTGCCGCTGTGGTGGTTTTTTCTTGGCTGCAGGTTTGGGGTTTCGCCTTGCGTGCCCCCAGAGCTGGGTGCAGACCTTCTGGGCTTGGTCTCAGGCGGCGTCTCACACTGTTGCCTTCCTTTTCCAGTTAGAGAGCCTCCGGGCGTCCTACGCAGAGCTGAAGGCTCAGTCGCAAGAAGAGCTCCGGCGCCTTTGGTCTCAGCTCGAGTCTCCCACACCCGACAGAGAGGACTCGAGTGGTGAGGAGTTTCATGTTGAAAGTTCTGTGTTTTTAATTGTTCAAATCCCAAACTAGGACTTAACAATTGTAGCAGGCACAGAAAGAGTGATTTTATAAACTTCTTTGAAGATTGGTGTGTGGTTTTAAGGTGGAAACTTGAGGGCCTTGGTTTCATCTTCGAGCAAGTTAGCTGAGTAACGGCTACAGAATCGTGATTTTTCTCATGTTCCTATGAGGCAGTTTGCGAGCATGAGATGGATAAAGCTTACAGCAGGGCTGGCGTCTACCGAGAAGCCGAGTCAGGGGGCATTTGGGGGGAGTGCAGGTGTGCCTTTCCACGCGATGCCCCGTGAACCCTGGGGCAGGTGCTGTCAGGCTCCTGTGGCCCCGAGGGTGATGTCCAAGTCCGCAGGGCCCAGCAGCTCACCTGGCACCTCCTACAAGACCCTCTGTAAGAATAGTCCCCACCCGTGGACAGCACCTTCAGCTGGGGAAGTCAGGAGACGCGAGCGAGATAGGCGGACACGTGTGTTTCTACTGCTGCTCTCTAGGTGGGGCCTTTTCAGTCTAGGGGTCCCCCTTGCTGGGGGCAAAGAGCAGGGTTATGAAGAAGGGCCAGAGACCTGTGTGGTGGGTGAGGCCTCGCCTGTCTGCTCGCGCCTGTTTGTTGAAGGCGGCGGGTGCAGCTCACGGCTCTCCTGAGCTCCTGAGCAGTCAGCTCTCACGAGGCCCGTAGGGGAAGCCTCGCCCTGGCCTCCGGGGGTCCTTCCAGGGATATTTGTCTTGAAACTTATGGGTAGGGGCCAGTTTATATCCACGTTATTTGAAAGCTGATTATTAATTATTGTTAAGCAGCTTGTAGCATTTTCTTGCTGAAAACAGCAATGGTGATGTGTTTTCTCGAGGTCAGTGTGTATTACTATTCTTTTGCTCTTAATGAAACATCCCAGATTTAGTGGCTAGAAGCCACACGCATTAGCCGGCAGATGTCATGTAGGTTGGAATGGGAGGGCGTGCCTGGGTTTTCTGTCCAGGATCACCCGCAGCCGGAATCAGGGTGTCGGCTGAGCCTCGCTGTGGCTCACTAAGTCCCTGCGGTTGTAGGGCCGAGGTCTTGTTTCCTTGCTGGCCGTTGGCTGGGGCTCTCAGGTCCTGGGGGCCGCCCACATCCCTGCCCTGTGGCCCGAGCCGCACGTGGAGTACCTCTCACACTTCTGGCCTCTGACGCCTTCAGCACCAGCCTGGGAAAGCACTCTGCTTCCAGGGGGCCCGTGGGATCCGCTGAGGCCGCCCAGGCCACCTCCCAGTGTGAGGCGCCGCTCAGCGTAAGCCACGGAGGGGTCCCGCTTCACCTTCACAGGTGCTGGGACTGGAGCTCTATCTGGAGTTGAGGTCTGCAGTGTCTCCTGATGTCTCCTCAGTGTTTCGTCTGAAGGTGACTGCGTAATTCCTTCCCATTAAAGAGTTCCACGACCAGCTCCCGGCCCTCACGCCTCACGGGGAAGAGCTAGAGCGCCTAAAGCGAGACTTCCAGCAGCAGTGGCAGCGAGAGAAAGCCGAGCACGAGTCTGAGCTGGAGCAGTTGAGAATTTACTTTGAGAAGAAATTAGAGGAGGCTGAGAAAAGCTACCAAGAAGACCTGATTGTGTTACAGCGGCGGCTGCAGGTGAATGAAGAGTCTCTTCTGGAGTCTGTGGAAATCAGGTGCATAAGTCCTTTTCATCATCAGCGTGTTTTCGAAATGTGGGAACCTTGAGCTGAATTGAAATCTGGTTATGTTTATAATTTCATGCCAGTGGAGAGCAGGAGCCTTGTAGGTTTTAGAAACACAGCTTATGTTTGGGCCTCCAAGCAAGAGAGCATTAAGGCTAGGAGCGGCCCATGACCTGCGGCACCCGGGGTCCCCTCTGCTCCCTCACGAGGTCCCACCACGTGGTCACACAGACATGGCCTGCTCAGCCGAGGGCTCCTGTCCTTGATGGGAAGTAGGATCGCCGTGGTGGGAGCAGGGAGGAGAAGGGGCATGTGAGGAGGTTTTAAAGCACATTTTCTCTTAGTCCACCCAGTGTGTCTTTAGAAGAGAGGTCTGAGGAAGAAAGAAGAGAACCCTGCGATGGACTCCGCCTTCAGCCTGAGGTGACGGGCCCTTCTGTCCTTCGTTGACGGGAAATGGACATAGTGTCCGTTTCAGGTGCACAAGGTGCTGACGTTTGTGTGTGTTGTAAGTGACCGCCACAGCGGGTCCACTTAATGTCTGCCAGCACCCAGGGCTGCAGAGTTTCTTTTTCTTGTGATTGAGAACTTTTAAGATCTACTCTCTCAGCAGCTTTCAGGTGTACAGTACAGAGTTTTTATCTGTAGTCACCGTGCTGCGCACTCCATCCCCAGACTCTCTGTTTTGTAACTGGAGGTTCGTATGTTCTGACACTTTCTCCCATTCTGTCCACCCCACCCCCACTCTGTCGGCCACCAGTCTGTTCTCTGTCAGCTCAGTTTTAAGATTGCACATGTAAGTGAGATCATGTGGGACGTGTTTTTCTCAGACTGACTTACTTTGCTTACACCCTCGAGGTCCATCCACGGTGTCACAAATGGCAAGATCCCGTTCTTCTTTATGGCTGAGTATCATTCCACTGTGTACACACCGCGTGTTCTTTATCCATTCGTCAGTCCGTGGACACACAGGCAGCTTCCATATCTTGGCCATTGTAAATAATGCTGCAATAAACATAGGGGTGCATTTATCTTTTTGAATTAGTGTTTTTGGTGGGTTTTTTTGGGTAAATACCTAGTAGCACAATTGCTGGATCGTAGGCTAGTTCTACTTTTAACCTTTTGAGGAGCCCCCGTACTGTTCTCCAGAGCGGCTGCACCAGTCTGCAGTCCCACCAGCAGTGTGGGAGGGTTCCTTTTCCTTCACATCATTGCCAACACCTGTTGTTTCTTGTGTTGTTGATTTTAGCCGTTCTGACAGGTATGAGGTGATACCTCATTTTTTAAAATTTGCATTTTCCTGATGATTAATGATGTTGAGCACCTTTTCATGTACTTGTTGAGTATGTGTATGTCTTCTTTGGAAAAATGCCTATTTGGATCCTCTGCCCATTTTTTAATTGAATTGTTTGTTTTTGCCATTGAGTTCTGTGAGTTCTTTATATATTTGGGATATTAACCCCTTATCAGATAAATGATATGCAAATATTTTCTCTCCCTCAGTAGGTTGTCTTTTCATTTTGTTAATGATTTCCTCTGTTGTGCAGAAGTTTTTTTGTTATATGTTTGCTTTCATTGCTTTTCCTTTTGGTGTCAGAGCCATAAAATCATCAAAAAGACTTGTTGTCAGGGAGCTTACCACCTGTTTTCTTCTAGGAGTTTCATGGTTTCAGGTCTTATGTTCAAGTCTTTAACCAATTTTGATTTTACTTTTGTGGATGGTGTGAGAAAGTGGTCTAGTTTCATTCTTTTGCATGTAGCTGTCCAGTTTTCCCAGAACCGTTTATTGAGACAGTCCTTTCCCCATGGTATATTCTTGTCTCCTTTGTCACAAAGTAATCGACCATATGTGCTTGGGTTTATTTCTGGGCTCTCTATTGTATTCCATTGATCTGTATGTCTATTTTTATGCTAATATCATATTTTGGTTACTAAAGCTTTGTAATATAATTCAAAATCATGAAGTGTGATGCCTCCAGCTTTGTTCCTCAAGTTTGCTTTGGCTACTCAGGGTCTTTTTTTGGTTCCATACAAATTTTAGGATGATTTGTTTTAGTTCTGTGAAAAATGCCATTGGAATCAGGGATTGCACTGAATCTGTAGATTACCTTGGGTAGAATGGACATTTTAAAAATACTAATTCTTCAAATCCATGAGCCTGGAATGTCTTTCTATTTCTTTGTGTCTTCAACTTCTTTCATCACTGTCATAGTTTTTAGCATATAGGTTTCTCACCTCCTTGGTTAAATTTATTTTATTTATTATTTTTGGTGCAACTGTAAATGGAATGGTTTTCTTAATTTCTCCTTCTGATGGCTCATTCATTAGACTAGTGTACAGAGACACAACAGATGTTTCCTGTGATTTTACTGGATGTGTTTATCAGTTCTAACAGTTTCTGGTGGAGTCTTAAGGGTTTTCTATATATAAGATCATGTCATCTGTAAATAGTGATGGTTTTACTTCTTCCTTTCCAATTTAGATGCCTTTTATTTCATTTTCTTGCCTTATTGCTGTGGCTGGGGCTTCTAGTTCCATGTACTTATTCCTGATCTTAGGGGGGAAAGTTTTACCATTGAGAATGGTGTTCGCTGTGGGTTTGTGAAATACGATCTTTCTTACATTGAGGTACGTTCTCTCTATACCTGCTGTGTTCGGAGTTTTTATCCTAACAGTAATTTCTTGTAATTCTATATCTAGTCACTATTCAGACTCTCTGATTATCTAATGTTTGTTTGTTAGATTCAGGATCAAAATGAGGTAAAAAAAAATTGTACTTGGTGGGGACAAGGTCTTTAAGTCTTTTTTAATCTACAGATTCTTCCTCTGTCATAGTTTTCTTGTGGTTAGTTTGTGGACAAAAACAAGTTGTTTGTCCAGTATGTTTCTTTAGCCTGAGCTCTGAAGATTGTGTCTCAGATCTGTCATTCAATACAGCCGTCTGTCGCCTGTGGTTATCCTGCACGTTGTGGTTGGATCAGACTCAGGTTCAGTTTTCTGGCAAAAATTCCTCCTGGAAGGTGGCATATGATTCTGGCTGCCTCTGTTCACCACCCTGGCGTCACTGATCTTTAGGACTTACAGCGGAGCTACCCTGATTATGAAGGCTCACCGGAGCAGCCTTGGAAGTTTCTCCTCTGGAGAACGCATGCCCTCCTCCGTCACCCAGGGGCCTGGAGGCAGGCTGTGTAAGAAAACAAGATCAAGGATTGATTTCAGAGTAGTAAGGTGGTTTCTTAGAATCTTCTTCAAATGACTGCTGAGTTTCGTTTATTTGTTTCACTAAGAACTAGTGGATACAAACATCGTGGATGTGATTCAGTCTATTATAGTTTTTTTTATTTTTCAGTGGTCAGTGGGAGCCCCTTCAAGTTGGCTCTTGAGTCCTTCTGATGTGCCCCTGGAATTCTTTGAGGCCATAGCAGAGATGAGGAAGCTCAGATGCTTGGGGAAAGGCAGTGTGTTTTGCATCCTAGACCTGTCATGGCCGGAACCCTAGGGACCCTGCTACTTCATAGGGGAAATGGAATTGGGGACCACCATCTGGGCACTCGATGTTGCTGGCTTCTTCACTGTTTCTGGGCTTTCTTCAGTGGACAGAGTAGGAAATGATGTCTGTTTGTAAGAGTACCTACATCATGAGTTTATGCTGCTGGTTCCAACTCAAATTCAAGACCACAGAATTTTTACTTAACTCACTGATTCCTTGCTCCCACACTGAAAAATTGCAGACATCAACAACTCATCAGAGAATCACTCATCTGCCTCAGGCCACGCTATACTATAGTCTCAAAACAATGGTCTCCACACTCCCTCTAAAATGTGAGATTTCTGAGAGCAGGTTAACGTTTTTTTGCAGTTCTTTTTGCCCATAGGGCATATCTCATTAGGGGTGGACTAATCAAATTACCGTGTTTAAAGTCACTTTAAATAGATTCTCTCTCTGGGGCTTTGCCACCAACCTAATTCCAGTTCAGCTGAGTTCATTTCTTTTATTTCACTTTCAATTGTTAGGTATTGCTTTTTAAAATTTCAAGTTTTTTGGATGTAAAATATATACATGGCTCCAAAGTCAAATCTGAACACAAGATAAATTCAGAGAAGTCCAGTTTCTGCCCCCCACAGCTGCACTGGCTTATCTAACTTTCCTTTCTTTAATACATGCAGTTTCAGATTTATGTATATGTGCACACACACATAGTATGTGTGTGTGTTAAATGATAGAAACGTACGCACGTCCTTCCATGTGTTCTTGTTGAACAGAATATCTCCACGATCTTTAGAGTTGCATGTTCTCACCTGGTGCAGCTCCCAGCCTCCCAGCCCCTCGGCAGCTGTGAGTGGGTCAGCCTGTGCTTGCCTGCAGCTGGGTAACACGGTGGGTTTCAAACGCCATCCCTCCGATCTCATGTTATTCTCTTCCAGGCCATCGACAGCATCCACCAGGTGGGCGTGTACTGTCTGGCCCTGGTTCCTGCCAACACCTTGCCCAAGGCTCCTCTCGGAGGGATTCACATTTCTGAAACCAAGCAGCGTTTCCTGGAGGGGATGCTGCACCCATGTAATGTACTAATGTGCCCTCACACCTGTGTCACCAACCTTCCCAAACCTCGCCAGAAACAACCAGGTTAGTCCTATGTGGCAATAGCTGTTCAGTCTCAGTATTGGTGGCAGCCACACTCGTGGTTCAATGGTGCAGCCCTCGTGGGGCCTGCATCTCTGGGGCTGGGGTTAGGAGCCAGACCTACATCAGGGCAGTCACCACCTCCTGCCTCCCTGGAGCCAAGCCACAGATGAGAAAACTTTACCGTGTCACCTGTGTGGTGGTTCTCAGCTGCCTGTTGGGACCCATCTCAGTGACTAAATGCAGGCGTGGCATCTGGGGCTTGGAGGGCAAAGGGGTGGCTCCCTGGGAGTAGAGGTGCGGCCCAAGAGCAGACGTGGAGCTCAGGGACCGAGAGAGTGCGGTGCTGGGGGCCGGCCCGCCGGGCTGCTCCCCGCAGCTGACGCCTCAAGGGCCTCCACGAATGGTCTCTCCCTTCCCTGATTTCACACATTTAGAAACTAAGTTCAAAGACTGGCTTGACTGTTATTTTTGTTCCTTTGGTTATGTAAATTTTTTTATTTTTCTTTCACTGATTATTGAACACGTAAGATATCATTAAATAAAATGCATTTACTCAGGAAGGTTTAATTTCCTGTTTTATATGTAAAATGCAGGAAAACCGTGCAGTACCCTGAGCGTGTGGCTGTGGCTGAGGTCCAGTCATACCCCCAGGTATACGCCGGATGGCGAGTTTCTCAGTCTGGGGTTGCTTGTATTTGAGAGAGAGACGCTCTTTGCCGCTCACCATGACCCTTACGGCTGGCTTCCTGAGCGTCAGCACCTTAGTGAAGAGTGAAACGCCTCACTCAGATAGAAAGTGTTCCGGCAGTAAAGTCACAGGACGGTCCTGTCCCCGAGCCACCACCTGCTCACTCAGAATCCCCCGTTTTCCAGAGGTGGGGCCGGCCTCCATGATCGTGGGGAACCTGGTTGCCGGGAAGAGGATCGCACAGGCCTCGGGGAGGGAGCTGGCTCACCTGGAGGACAGTGACCAGGCCCGAAAGGTAACGGCCGGGGCCCCGGGGCGCACAAGGAGGGTGCCCCTCCGCGAGGCTGCAGACTGAGTGGGCCTCTCTGCGCAGTTCCTCTTCCTGCCCGACGTGCTGCAGTGGCGGGCACACACCACTCCCGACCACCCGCTCTTCCTGCTGCTCAACGCCAAGGTGAGCCAGCTCCCAGTGCTCTGTCCCCCAAGTCCTGCCCAGAGAGCGCTGCGCCCCCGGCCACCCGCCCCACCTGCTGTTTTCTGTGTGGGGAGCTCAGCGGTCACCTCGGTCACCTCAGTCAGGCAGAGTGACATTTCTGGTCAAGCTAGTATTGAACAGGAAAATGCTCAAAAACAGCATGCTTGTAAAGACTCCTAAGTGAGCTAAAAGGAAATGTTTATTTTGTAAAAATTAGGAATTTAGATTTTTTTGTTTATAGCTTTAACATGACAAATGCTGTTTATTGCCCTGATCCTGGGGTAGATTCAGAAATTCACTTCCATGATTTTCGCTACCTTTTAGTGTGATTACACTGTACCAGGAGTTCTCAGAATAGGAAGGAGGTGCCGTAACCCGCACATCCAACTTTGGGCCAGCAATAGAAACATGACAAGTTAAATAACCATAAAAATCCTGCCTCACTCAGATGCATCTCACACAGACCGTGAGAACGTTTGCACTTTGACACAGTAAAGGGCAGGTCGCTGTGGTCTTAGAAAATGCTGGTCTAGCTTTTGTTTCTGCTCATTACTGCCCACTGTTTCTTCATTTAAAAAATATTTATTGATACCTGTTAGGTTCTGGGTGTTAAGTAAGAGAAAAAGCGTCCTGCCCTCAGGACGCTTGAAGTGAGTCTTCCCTGCTGGAAAACTAGTCCGTAAAAGAGACTTTATGTTCTTTGTTCACCGTGTATCCGCAGATCTAGAATGGTGTTCAGAAGACATTTACTTTATCATTGATTGAGTTCTAGAGCATGGAGACAGCCAATAATTAACAAGTGGCCAAGGTAAAACGAGCTCATGATGGGAACCCGAAGATGAGAACAGCAGGGGTGTGGCCCCAAGTGCCAGGGGCTCCGAGGCCAGGTGCTGGCTGTTATCCCGAGGGTGTGGCTGGAAGCCTGCTCGGGACTGAGCTGTAGGCGCGTGATGTGGTTCGTGGTTCTGAGTGGCTCCTGTGGGTTGCAGGAGGGTGTGGGGCAGCAGCTCAGAGAGGAGGGGCCCTGGGGTGGGGGCCGCACAGAGGTGCCCACCAGGCATGTGTGGAGAGGTAGATGTTTTTTTGTTTTTTTTTAAGATTTTATTTATTAGAGAGAGAGAGAGAGAGCGCACAAGCAGGGGGAGCGGCAGAGGGAGAGGGAGAAGCAGGGACCCTGATGCGGGGCTCAATCCCAGGACCCCGAGATCATGACCTGAGCCGAAGGCAGACGCCTAATGACTGAGCCACCCAGGCGCCCCGAGGTAGATGGTCTTTAAAGCCAAGAGAGAGCTCAGGAGGAGCCCGCAGAAGACTGGGCCTGGCCTTTTCCAAATCCCCTCAAAGTCACTAGTAAAACTTGGCATTTCTTTTGGTTTGTCAGCCTTCTTCTGTTTTGAATTGTCCTTGGGTCCCTGAGGACATGCTGGCCTCTGAACCTAGAAGGAGGCCTGTGGCCGTGTAGGTGGCCATCCAAGGGGAATGGCAGGCTCTGACGTTCTGCACCTCAGCTGGGCTTGGGGGAAGCAAGCCCAGCTCCCTTGCACGCAGCCTGGCTCTGCAGACAAGCACGTTGGCCTCCGTAAGGGAGAAAGGAGGGGTTCTGACTTTGGCTGGTCTGTTCTGGGGCATTATGTTTAGACCGAGCTGCACCTTTAATATCCTTCAGAAGGACTAAAAGCTCTGAGGCCTGCCCAACTCCAGTCAACCGAGGGAAGGAGGCCTTTGCTGGGAGCTGGTGTCCTGATGTCCTTGGCAGAGACGCGAGGCGAGTGAGCGAGCGAGCCTGTGCCGCCCGCAACGCTCTGTGTCCGCCAGGTGCTCCAAGAGGGCAGGCCGCCGACCTGGGGGAGAGGAAGTTCAAACACGCACGACCGTAGCTTCCAGATGTTTGTTTATTGTGCATTATTATGTGTATTTATATTCAGGATAATGGTTGTTTCTGGGGAAGGAGAGGATGAATTAAGGTTGGTATGCAGAGTGGTGATGATATGTTTTAGAAAACAAATTTAAACATTATGTGGCAAAATACTATTAGGTAAGGAGAACCTGGATATTTATTCTATTATTCTTTATAATGTTGTTATATTTAACCGATTTTATCAAAAAGGCCAAAAGAGTTTTCTTTTTTTAATTTAATTAAATTTAGTTATTTATTTAAAAGAATTTTTTTAGAGAGAGCGCGAGCGAGCACACGGGAGTGAGTTGGGGGAGGGGCAGAGGGAGAGAGAGCACCTTAAGCAGGTGACATGCCCAGTGTGGAGCCCAACGTGGGGCTCGATCTCATGACCCTGAGATCGTGACCTGAGCTGAAACCAAGAGTCAGACACTTGACCAGCTGAGCCAACCGGGCGCCCTCAAGAGTTTTCTCTAATGGCTGAGACTCGGGCTGTCCTGGACAAGCAGCGTGCTCACTGCTCCAGGCTCTCTGGAGACACTGCACAGCTTGTCGCTTCCCTGCTGGAGGAACAGCCACCTTTGGGATCTCTCCCTGAGATACAGACGACTAGGAACGACAGCAGGTGTGTCCTGAGAACCGGTGCAGGCCCTGGGCCCTAACCACAGGAGTTCGGGGCACAGGGCAAGAGCAGTGTGTGTTCAGGTGCCCAAGGAACAGACCCGCCCCCAGTTCTGCGCTGATGCAGGGACCGCCTTCCTAGGGCAGCGTCACCAGCACTGCAACCTGCGTTCAGCTGCACAAGAGGGCAGAGAGGGTGGCCGCCGCCCTGATGGAGAAGGCAAGACTGAACACTGGGGACCACGTGGCTTTGGTCTACCCCCCAGGTAAGCACACGGAGACCTCTGCCGGCCCTGCGCTCACGGGGACACTCGTTATTATAAAGCAGACACCCCGTAACCTACAGCCAGGTCAGAAAATAGGTCCTGGCCAGGTGTCCCGGGTGTCCCCAGCACAAACGCCTCCACTCCCCCGGGAGCAGCCTCTGCGCCTGAGCTCTGTAGCCCTCTCTTCCAGTTCCCCAGTGTCTGAGCGCCCAGTGGGACACCCTGCACATCGGGTTAGTCTGCCAGTTTTCTTTACATCTGATATGTTTTTAGTCTCTTTTAATCCACAGGCTCTCCCTCTCCCCTCTCTTTGTAACTTACTGATGGAAGCTCTGGGTTGACTCTGCAGAGGCCCCCCAGTCCCGGTGCAAGCCAGCAGGTTCTTGGCTCCCGTCTTTCCTGCAGGTTGGCAGCTAGGTCTTGGCCCTGGGTCACACTCGGGTCTGGTGCCTTGGGCGACTCCAAGTGGTGTTGACTTATTTCATCAGGGACCCATGTTGGCTTGTGTCTCCTTTTGTGGCGTTAGCAGCCACTGTTGATGCTTCAGAGTTCATTCATTCATTCATTCTTTAGGGTCACAAAACAGTGATACTCTCATTCTGTCATTTCCTGTTTTCATTTGTTGGCCATAAAACGAACACACAGAAACTTCCTTCATCTGGCATTTGGCTCCCCAGTGGTGGAATCCCTATGTGCTGATGCTTTCCCTCTGTCAGTCCTGTGCATTCCTGTCACACTCCGAAGCTGACCGGCCAGTGGATCTAGAAATACATACATCACTGTGAACTCGGGGACTGAAATGACATTGTTGGGTTTCAGTCCTTTGCAGTTTCTTTGTCAAAGCTCAGGTCGTCCCACGTTCGGCCAATAGGAGCCCCTTCCGGCTGGTCTCACGTGACCACAGTCTGCCGCAGGCTCGCGTCCTGCCCGTCCGACCCCAGATCTAGAGCCAGCCGTCCCTCCATGGAGACCCCAGTGCCCCCAGAACAAAACCTGGGCCTGAGGGATGCCCATTTCTTCCAGATTGACCGCTGTTTATTGGCCTTTCAGCTAGCAGAGCTAGGAATTACAAATAAATGCAGTTGTATCTCTTATAGAGGCAGTACCTTATGAGTTTATACTGTCACATCCCATTTAATTCAGGGCTAAACCCCTCCTACCTTGTATCTCCCATTTTCCATACCGAGGATCCTGGTTCTTCAGAACAGGGAGATGATGGAATTCACATATCCCATAATCACTCAGTCACTCAAACCTGCATCACATGCAGCATTCCCAGAATAACAGCACAAACACTGTAACCACCTAAATGAAGTTTGGAAACAGTTTAAAATTTTTGCACGTGCTTTTCTGCGTCTCCACCGCACCCACCCACAACCTTGTTGCTGCCTTGTGTCTGCGTTATCAGAGGGATGGATGCACGGCCCTTACAAATCCAGCCTCTCGGCTTCTCCTCCTTTGCTTTCAGTTCCCCCCAGAGCTGTCTGTCTACTGGTCACGCAGGTTTCTGACACTCGTTCTCTAACTGGTTTCTCAGGAAGCAATCCTAGGACCAGTGGTCTCCCGAGTTCTTGGTTGCTGATAATGGTTTGTACACTTTGTGATTGTTAAAGAACACAATCCAATGGGGTAAGTTTTGAAGGTCTGATTGGCTTTCTCCGGTGACCCCTGAACCCGGCCGCCTGCAGCCTAGCGGGCAGAAAGGAGCCCCGGGGAGCCGCCCAGATGAGAGACGTTCATGGGCAGGAGGGAGCGGGACGGGGACCTGACCCCCCAGGAGGACGCGGGTTAGTTGGACAGGGTCACCCTCCTTCAGGGGACCGCGGGGTCTGCCAGACCGAGGACTTTGCTCATGCCGACCAGGTGACTCCTGATGGACGCTGAGCTCCCGTTTCTGGGAGAGGCCGTAGATGTAATTAGGTTAAGTCTCGGTTTGGTGACCTGGGGCTCCGCCTGCTCTATCGGATCCGGCCCCTGGTCTGGAGGTGTCCCTTCTGTGAGTTTGTTGTTTGCCTGTTAGCGGGTCTGGCGCACAGGGCCGTGCACTCGGTGTCTCTCCCTCTTGTGGCGACTCACGCCTTCGCTGGGGCGGGACGCCTGGGTCTGTTTCTCACGGTCGTATCCGTGTGCTTCTCCAGGCTCACAGGTCAGAGTCCAGCTCTTCTTCCCTGTTTGTTTGTGAGTCATCTGGCCTAGAATCTTGCAGGCTTCCCTTTTCAACTCAGAGAAAGGAAGCATGGGGCTGCGCCCAGGGATGGGTCCTGCTCACTGTCTTGCCTGTTTAATCTTGGGGTTCTCATCTTCATCTCAGGAAAATATTCTTTCTCCTGACTGCTTTTCCTCCCTTTTCCCTGCGCCCGGCACTCTTCTGACTTGTGGTTTGGATCTGTCCTCCCTGTCGGGTGCCTTCTCTTGAGTGTGCTCTGTGCTTCATCTCTGGGCCACTTGTCCAGGCCCCTTTTCAGCACCTCTGGGGGGACCCTGGGTTGCATTCAGCACTTCTCCCTGTGGGACTGCTGCTGCTGGCGGGAGCGGGGTGCCTCTTTCTTGGGGGACTGCCACGGAGTGCAGACGTCTCCCCTTCCTGGGGCCTGGGGCAGGGTGGCAGCCTGGTCTCTTTCTTGGCACACATACATGGTAACTCGAATACGCCAGAACTCACACTGGCATCACATTCTTTCTCCTCCTTCCATTCCCTGTGATGTGGTTTGGGGTGTTGGAGTCCAGAGCCGACGGCCAAGAAAGAATTCTTGAGACGTCTTTGGTGCAAAAAGGTGGTTTTATTAAAGCCCGGGGACGGGCCCAGGGAGGACAGGACCCGTGGGCAGAAGGAGCTGCGGCACCGGGGTTGTGAGGGGTGGCTGATCATATACTTGGGAGTTGGGGGAGGGAGGGAAAAGGGAGGTGTCCAAAAGGACTTGGATCTGCTGAAGAAGACTCACAGGATCCTGGAGGCCTGGCTCTTGTCAAGCTAGGGTTGTTTTTCCTTCTAGTAAGGGATTAGCATTAAGACAGTTGGGTGCTTCCTGGGGGAATGTTACACTCTGCCCGCCTCGAGTATTCGTCAATGGGCTGCAGGTTATAAGGACATTTACTTTTATCTACATTTCCTTCTGCCTCTGTTTCCCACATCATCTGGGCTGTGAGGGTACTTTTCCCTAGGGCGAGCTCAGTCCCCACTCTTAAGTACCCCTGGGTTCCAGGCGTAAGGCAAGCTTCACCCTGACTGAGAGGGGGCAGAGACACGGCTGAGCTGGAGCTCCCTGGCCCTGAGCTGTCTACAATGGCTGCAGTGGTGCCGAGCCCTGGCCTCAGGGCTGGGACTGCAAGCACGCACAGCACGCGGGAGTGTGCCCACAGGGAGCGCACCCACAGGGAGCCCGCCCACAGGGAGCCCGCCCACAAGGAAACGCAGGGCTACAGTAACTGGGAAACACTGGGAAGGCTTTACTACAGGAAAAGGGAAGGAAAGATGGGTAGCAAACCAGTGTGATCTTGATAATTGAGAATCCGGAGGGTGAAGAGAGGGAGGGGCCTGATGCTCTTCTCTACGGTGGAGTATGTTTGACACTATCCTTAAACCATTTTTAACAACAAAAAAGAAAATGCATGCTGAAGGTCTAAATTTACATCTGAAAACATGCCAGCAGGTAGAGAGTATAGTAGCTGGAGGCTGAGCTGGGGTCCCCGTGGGGAGGGCCCCCCATGCTTTGCACTTGCCACTGGGTGTGTTGTGTATTTCTTGGGAATGAAGGGGGTGGCCCAGGACTTTTCCAATTTCCAAAGGGGGGTATTGAGCCAAGGGATTAAGAACCCATGCTCTCTGGAGGCTGCAGAAGGAGGTGCTGGTGGGTTCAGAAGGATTCTCCCCACCTGTGTACCTGGAAATATGTGCGTTCAGGAAGCAGCATGGGTTTTGTGAGCTCAGGGAAGTGGGCTCCTGTCTGTGTCTTCCTCATGTGCTGTGTTGAGAAATGACCATGCTGGGTGTAAGAGCTCTCATATGTGCCCCAGTCTGCTGGGTGTGCTCAGGGCCCTGCTCTGACCATGCTGAGCAGCCCTGGCCTCAGTGTCCATTACTAATATTGATGGAGCACTGGGAACTTGTAATCTGGTGAAACCCACCAGCCAGGTTAAACGGGACAGTTATTTTGACCCTGGAATTGAAATAGCCTGAGGCTGGTGTCTTGTAGTCTTGAGAATGCCAGGTGGGGGCCCTGTGTGCTCTGAAGGGTCTCCAGGGTGTGTGTGTAGGGGGGGCAAGCGTCTCAAGCTGGATTGAGTTCAAGATGGGAGCATAGGTTTTAAGTGTGGTATAATTCCCCCTAAGACTTAAACATTTAGAAATCTGAAGGAACATTTGGTGGTGATGCGTTATGATGTATAGCTGAGAGCCAGGAGGGATGCCCTGGCCTGAGAACAGATGTGCGAGGAGTTGCAGCCCTCCAAGTTTCCATTTCTCCAAGGGGGCAGACCCCCACCTCATGCTCCCCATCACCTCCTGTAGCTCTGTTCTCCTTGGTGGGCAGACCCCGCCCACTCCCGTGTTCCCTCCTTTTCAGAGCTGGGCAGCCCGTCCCTCAAAAGGTTCCTACTTCCCTTGCTCACCTACCCTGCGCTTGGCCCCCGTGCACAGGAATGGTAGGCCTAGTGCAGCTCCCGGGCTGGAGACCTCCTGCCCTCGGTGCCCTCCTCTGTGCCACGGACACACCCTCTTCTACCATCCGGCCTTTCAGGATCGTCTCTGTACATCCCTCATAGCACTTTCTACAAATATGATGCCAGCCGGCCTGGTCTGGGACTGCGAGGGAGTCCTGCAGGACCAGCCAAGATCAGAATGAAATACAGTTATTGAAGGTGTAGAGAGCACGCAGCTATGGACAGGGTGCTTGGGAGACTCCGGGAAGGAGAGAGTCCCATCTTTGTTTGGGATGTTGGGGGTCTTATTGAGGACTGTGGTGTGGTGTGCATATCCCCTCAGTCATCGGGAGCTGGTTTAGGGGATGTTCCTTGGAGCCAGGGGGCCTTGGCTTAGAGATGTGTCTAGAGCTGAGGGTCCAGAATACTCACTCTCACAGGTCGGGTCGTTCCTTAGATGTTACCTATTCTAAAGAAATCACTAACTTCTCGTCCCTTACCAGGGGGACATATACCATTTTCATGTGTAAAGTGGGGATGCAGGTCTTAGCAAGAATAGAGGCAAGAAAAGGAGCAAAAATCAGATGGTTATGGGGTCCTTCGGTTTCCCTGTGTCAGCACCATGTCGGTTTGCAGTCGTCGCGGTTTTGTCCGGGTGGTGCTGGGCTGGGACCCTCTCATCCGTTTGGCCCTCCGTGGTCCTGGGTGCTGTTCGTCACGTTCCGCCCGCACTGCCCCTCTCTGACCACGTGTCTTCGCAGGGGTGGACCTCATTGCTGCCTTCTACGGCTGTCTGTACTGCGGCTGCGTGCCCGTCACGGTGCGGCCCCCGCACCCCCAGAACCTCGCCACCACGCTGCCCACTGTCAAGATGATCGTGGAGGTGACCAGGGGCGGGCGGGGGCCTGTGCAGTCCACCGTGTCATCTCTCCCAGGCCCGCGTCCCGCTCACACCTTCAACCCCCGTGCTCTGCAGGTCAGCAAGTCCGCCTGTGTCCTCACCACACAGGCCATCATGCGGCTGCTCAAGTCTAGAGACGCAGCCACCGCCGTGGACGTCAGGACCTGGCCAACCATTCTGGATACAGGTGCGGGTCCTCGGCGCCTGCGGTGTGTGCGCTGGCCCCCGGGACACACCACCTTTCCTTTCTTTGTTGTACGGATTCTACACTTGCCACCAAACAATAAAAGTTGGGTGGGAGCCGCTGAAATAGGTGGTGAAGGGCCGCTCGCCTCTGGGCCTCCCTCACGGCGGGTCCCCGGCACCCGCGGGGCAGAGGTCCTTGTCGGCAGCCGGTGTGTCTGCGGACCACCCCTCCTCGTGCTGCTTCTCACGCCTGTGCAGCCGGTGGTCCCACAGCACACACACCTCTGTCCTGTGTCCCGCCGTTGGTGAATGCCGCTGTACCCCATGAGATGCTTGTGGGCCAATAGCAAGGGCTGTAAACCCCTGGACCGCTATGCCTCAAGCCATGAGGTCAGCCTGGGGCTGAGATGCCCCAAACTAGCAGCACCCCACAGGCTTTGTTGGTGAGCTGTGGTGCACAGCCACAGGGGGGCCAGCCAACGAGCAGGCAGGCATCCCTCCTGACCCCCGCACCTGGCAGACATCTGCCCTTGCACTCCAGGGCAAGCGGTCAGGGATTGTGTTGTCTGTGGCCACCCGCCCGCTACCCGTCCACAGGCCTGGGGAGCTGGTCCAGGGCAGCCGGTGTGGGGCCCTGGTGGCTCAGGAGCAGACTGGCTCCAGACAGTCCTGTTGCTTGGCCAGCTTGCGGCAACGTAGGCTCCAGCCCTTGCCTCACTTGAGTCCACCTCGTGGTCTTACAGGAACAATGAAGCAGGGAGAGCCCTGGGAGCCTGCCCATAGCTCTCACTGCGGTCGGAGCTCTCACTAATAATAGTGGTTCAGCCACAGGCTCTGTGACCTTTGGCAAGTCCTTGCTCCTCCGAACTCTGGCACTGGTAAATGCACCTCGCCCACTGTCCCTGGCACCACGCACTCAGAGCAGTCATGGTGGGTCTGCTCCATATGACATTTTCCTGAAGATTAAAATGAGCTTCCCCACGTATGCGCATGGCCTGCTGTCTCCAGGCCTCCCTCCTGTTCCGCACGGGCTCTCCCCAGGACTCCCCAGGTACGGATCATGTTTTCTTTCTCCCTTTGAGAGCCCGGAGTAACGTTAACATTACTGGGGTCGCTGCTTCAACAGATGACATACCAAAAAAGAAGGTGGCGAACATTTTCAGGCCCCCGTCTCCAGATGTGCTCGCGTACTTGGACTTCAGCGTGTCAACTACGGGGATATTAGCAGGCGTGAAGGTGGGTCCTGAGGTCATAGCTCTTACTTGCTTCTGCCTCTGACGGGTGGGGAGAAAGGGTGTTGGGTGCAGGTTTACACAGGTCCCCACTCTCATCCACAGCTGGAAGCAACAATAGTGTTCCTTGAAGTTTGTGTTAAATACCAGTAAACCCCCAGAATCAGGTTAGCCCGAGAACTGTGCATATTTTGATGTTTTATGGTAACAGCTAAACTTTAGAATTTATAACTAGCTTTGGGAGCGGGTGGCTTTGATGAGTCTGTCTCCTTACCAGGAGCCAAGAGCTCCATTAAATTTTTTCATCTTCTGAAATCTCATTTAGAAGGTCTTTAGTGTGCCATTTCCTGTGTATTATTTGGTTTGAATGGGGATTTGAGCCAGCCATCCTTTAAGGAGGCAACTGTGTCTGGCCGCATGGTTGACAGGCACTGCTGTTCACTTTCTGTCTTCCCTCACATCGCTGACCAGAACTTCCATTTTACTCCTTAAGATGTCACACGCAGCCACAAGTGCCTTGTGCCGCTCCATAAAGCTGCAGTGTGAGCTCTATCCCTCGAGGCAGATCGCCATATGCCTTGATCCCTACTGTGGCCTCGGCTTCGCCCTGTGGTGTCTGTGCAGGTGAGTGCTGCAGGTGGTGAGCAGGTGGTGAGCAGGTGAGTGCTGCAGGTGGTGAGCAGGTGAGTGCTGCAGGTGGTGAGCAGGTGAGTGCTGCAGGTGGTGAGCAGGTGGTGAGTAGGTGAGTGCTGCAGGTGGTGAGCAGGTGGTGAGCAGGTGAGTGCTGCAGGTGGTGAGCAGGTGGTGAGCAGGTGAGTGCTGCAGGTGGTGAGCAGGTGAGTGCTGCAGGGTGGTGAGCAGGTGAGTCCTGCAGGTGAGTGCTGCAGGTGGTGAGCAGGTGAGTGATGCAGGTGGTGAGTAGGTGAGTGCTGCAGGTGGTGAGCAGGTGGTGAGCAGGTGAGTGCTGCAGGTGGTGAGCAGGTGAGTGCTGCAGGTGGTGAGCAGGTGGTGAGTAGGTGAGTGCTGCAGGTGGTGAGCAGGTGGTGAGCAGGTGCCCCTGCAGCTTGCCTGCCTGCAGGACTGGAATCACTTGTGTCATTTTTGGGGCCTTAACATTCATTTTTGATGCCCAGGGAGTCTAAGATGTACATGTGAGTGGGTTCATTTGGGGGTGAAAAGGATCGGAGCCTGAGTTTGAAACTGAGTAAAAGGAGTAAAAATACATTTTTCACTACATATAAACAGTATCTGTTACTAGTAATAGGGAAGAGACTACTTAATTTCAACAAATACTAGGAGGTAGCAACGGATCTTTGGAAGTAGAAAGCCAGAGTCTCCAGCCAGCAGGTTCTGTCCCTAACTGTGACTCTGGATCCTTCCAAAGTGCTTAGACGGAGACCACACCCCTGTGTCACCCCCTGCTCCCCACAGAATTTTGTAGTGAAACTCCCACTTGAATTAGGGCCAAATTGTGCCCAGTTCTGGCTAGAAAGAAGTGTCCTCGGGGAAGGGAAGAGGCGGGGATGCAGGTGGCCAGGGCATCTCGTGGGCTCAGCAGCTGTCCTGACCCTCCCTGCACTCTGCCAGCGTCTACTCAGGACACCAGTCCGTCCTGGTGCCCCCGCTGGAGCTGGAGAGCAACGTGTCCCTGTGGCTGTCTGCCGTCAGCCAGTACAAGGCCCGGGTCACCTTCTGCTCCTACTCAGTGATGGAGATGTGCACCAAGGGCTTGGGAGCACAGACGGGCATCCTCAGGGTGAGTGAGCGACCCTGCTTGCTTTCCTGTCAGAGTGTCCAAACCAGGGGCTCCTACTTGTTTCTAAACTGGACCCTGGGAACCTTAAGCAAAGACCCCCAAGATCTGTTCAAGCCGTTTGTGGAAATAGAGTTGAGCCACACTGGCTCCATGGCGCTTTATCCCGGACCCCACCGTGCTGCGAGCTCCTCGCTGTGCCCCTAGAGGTCCCTCCCTTCCTCTGCACACCCCACACATCAGAGGATGGTGTGAGAGCCAAGCAGGGGTGCAGGGAGCAGAGTGCGGTGGGCAGGGGAGCCAGGGTGGGGAGGCGGGGCCCATACAAGTTCTGAGTGCACCATGGGGTCCAGGGCCCTGGAGCGGGGGCACAGGAGGCCAGGAGTGGGTGCAGAGCTGAGGGGGCCCCCTCCAGTGCTTTCATGCTGAGGACCCTGGGGAACTGAGACCACCTAGCAAGACGCAGGGGAGGAGGAGGCTGGGGTTTGTGGTTTGCTTCCCGCTCACCCTGCTCCTGCACGAGGTGCCCCTGGGGGTGCCCCGCCAAGGCTTCCTCAGATGGCTCAGGACCGTTCCGCCACTCCTCCCACAGATGAAGGGGGTGAACCTGTCCTGCGTGCGCACCTGCATGGTGGTCGCAGAGGAGAGGCCCAGGATCGCGCTCACGCAGTCCTTCTCCAAGCTGTTCAAGGACCTGGGGCTGCCGGCACGCGCGGTGAGCACCACGTTCGGTTGCAGGGTCAACGTGGCCATCTGCCTCCAGGTATGGCCTGCTGGGGGCCCCCCCCCCCCGCCCTCCCGCCGCCCCCCGTGTGCTGTCCTGCCTCCCGGTCCCTGGTGCCTGCTTGTCCTCCGAGCCTTTGACGTTCACTTCCATATGTCAGTTCAGCCTGTGAGCCGGAAGGTTGTATTGTGAGAGATGTCCTAGTCCGCCAGATGAGCAAAGGCTTGTTTGAAAACGACACGTTCTTGAGCAGCGGCTATTCGCTCACCTGGAGAAATCTCTAAGGTGGATACAATATGTAGCTGATTTTTTAAAGCTTATGACATTTACCAATTTTAAATGGAAACATTAATTAACATGGTGGTTTGTATTGCCCCAAATTCATTTTTGAAACATTAAGGTATTTTACTTATTAAAAGGAAAACACGAAGTTTCAGAAATTGAACAGCTAGAGTGTGTCTAATGCTGCTTCAGATGACTGGCTATTTTCCGGATTTGGTACTAGTATCTGCATTTCACTTCTTCGTAAAAACATACTGAATGCCTTCCTCACGGACACGGTGTAGGAATTACGGGGTGTGGAAGAGGCATCCCTGGAGCCCGGGCCTCTGCGCAGCCTTGGTCCTTGGCACCCGGCACACCTGTCCTGGGCCAGCCTGTCCCCGGCACAGGGCCGGTCTGTCATGCAGAGGCCGTCCTCCTGTTTTCCGGGCATTTCTGCTGATGTCCTCCCCGCCGTGAAGACTCTGCTGGCCTCTCCAAGCCTCAGACCCTCACCGGTGGCAGGAGGAGGTGGGCTGGGGCCCCCTCCTCACGTCCCTTCCTATTGTAGAAAATATGACCAAGTGTCAGGCTGTTGATGCACAGTTTGAGGCTGTAAGTGAACACCTTCCTCTCTGCTCAGCATCTAAAAGCCGGTGCCCTCTTTACTCGATATTTGAAGGTGTCTGTACCATTTCTCGGCATGTGGGATGCCACGTAGGATTGCCAGACTCTTAATGGGTTGTTCACGTTTGCGCTTTGAGATGCAGTGACGTATTTTGCTTTCTCTTACGTGTGTTTCTCACGTGGCCTGTTGCTTCCTGTTTGTTTCCTGTGGCTGTCTCCTCCCTGTCTCCCTCTGCTGGCATTCTCTGCCTCTGTCAGCCCAACAGGCTGGGAAAGCTGGCTGAGCAGGTACGACCTTGACCTCAACCTCAAGGCACCTCTGTGCTTCCCCCAAGAGTTCCTGTGGCTTCTTGTGAATTCCAGACAAACGCATGTGTCTTTCCTGTGTGACTTTGCTCACAGTGGCTGTTATTGACATATTACAAAAGCTCCTTTGAAACCAAGTGGAAGAGCAAAGCCATTTTCCAAAAGAACATACAGTCCTAGCATTGCCCGTGGAGGAAGGGCCATGTTTGGTCTCAAAGAAGACACTTGTTTTAACCAGGGCAGATGTGGGTTACACTGTCTGGGGTCTTCAGAGAGTGACGTCGAGCAGAGTGTCCATTTAACTCCATGTTCCTTATCTACTAAATGGGCCCTAATAGCCTCGGCAGGGTCAATGCCAAGTCTCCGAAGAGAGGCGAGAAGGGTGAATCCCCGAGAGAGCCTCCACTCTGCTCTGCCCTTGGTAGAATCCAGTTGGCCGGCGAGAGGCCAGGCCTGATCTGACGGCGTGGCGGAAATGCCCTCCAAAACCTGCAGTGGTGTTTCTACCATCACACGGAGGGTAGGGACCAGCGGGAACACAAAGCTGTTAGAACTGACGAGTAAAATTGTAGGATTTTGCTGGACGCTCCACCCGATGTTGTTGAGCCAGGTAGATGTTTGGATGGAGGGCGTCCATGCCCGTGGGCAGGCTCACTGCCCCGGGCAGAGCTGCTGCCTTCCTGGGTGTCCCCTGGGGACCCGGGAGGGGCTGTCACGTGGCTGTGCCCGTGTAGAGATGCAGACGCGCTCCTGCAAACCCGATGAAGGGAGGTTCCTCTGCTGCTCTCCTTTCAGGGCACAGCCGGCCCGGACCCCACCACCGTCTACGTAGACATGAGGGCGCTGCGCCACGACCGGTAAGGGCCCATCCACACCCGCAGGGGAACTTGTGTGGGCTGATGGGTCCCGAGCCGACCTCCCAGCACCCTGGTGTGAGCGGCTGGCTGGCTGGGTCCCCTGGGGAGGCCTGGGCTGCCTTCTCGGCCCCTCGTGTCAGCACAGCTCAGGCAGCATCCCTGAACCTGTGGTTCCCACCCCTGGAGGGATGATGGGAGTTACCCAACACCTGACATGGGTCGTCTTACGGGGTAGAAAACAAGCGAACCAGCCAATGGCAAGCATGTTTTTCCCATGATACCATTTTAAGACCGGACTTAGCGTTTTCGTCAATAAATGTGCGCCGGGGGCCACAGTGTGTCCCTGTGGGTCTGGTCCCTCCCAGCTCTGAAGCTGGGTCCTGGTTCTGGACCCTCAAACGTGGCCACGCTGCCCCTTGATGTAAACAGCGGTGGGGCTTCCTGGGGTGGGGCCAGCAGGTGGGGGGGTTGGGAGGAGGGTGCAGAGAAAGCTGGAGCCAACCCCTGCCCTGAGTTGGGGCCAGTCAGCAGGCAGTCACTGCTCCAAGGTCACGGCAAGGTCATGAGTCTGAAGGCGAGGCATTGTCCACAGACCAACCTTTATAGTGACAAGCAGTTTCTGATGACCTTTTCCCTTGTTAATTTTCAGGGTACGGTTGGTAGAACGGGGTTCTCCGCACAGTCTGCCGTTGACGGAGTCTGGAAAGGTAGTGGGAGCTGGAACTTGGCCCTTGGCGGGTTCCGAGAGTTCAACATGTCCCAATGGACACAGGTCGATGGGGGTCGCGGCTGGGCTGATGCAGAGGGCTCCTCTCCTCCTCACCACTCACCCAAGGACATCAGAAAGGAGGGAGGGGCAGAAGCCCAGAAGGAGCTCCCACTGGGGTCTTGAGCCTGCTGGGCCCCTTGGGTCAGGGCCCGATGCCCCCACGGGGATCTGGAGAACAGGTGTTCTCAGAGCCAGGGAAAGTTCAAGGGAAAGAAGAGCGCCCGCATGGCTTTATCAGGCGGTGTGATGCAGTGGGGGGATGGCCTGGGCGTCAGGAGACAGCAGGGTCAAGGGCAGGGCTGGGTGCCCAGCGTCACAGCCAGAACAGACGGCCCCGATCTCAGGGCTTCCCACTGCTCCTGCAGTGTGCCGGTGCTAGGCCGAGGGCAGAGGGGTGGCCCGTCCTGTTCCTGCACAATCCCAGAGGCAAGAAATGGAGGTTGGCACGGCCCACACAGCCTGGAAGGGCCACCCCGATTCTGCTCCCACACCATTAGGGTCACAGCGACCGCTAGGGACAGGGCAGTGGAGACGGCAACAGCACAAGAGCCTTGTGCCTGCAGACGGTGACCAGGGTCAGGCTTCTGAGGAGGGACAGCCACAGACATGAGGCGCAGAAGGCTCTGCTGGTGCAAAGGTCCTGGGCTGGGAGTGTGGGCCTTGGAGGGGCCAGTGTGGCTGGAGCTGAGCTGGGGGAGAGGAGGGAGATGGCCATGGGCCACAGAGCCTGCATCCCCATGTTCCTGTGACCCTTGACCCTTCCTCCCATCTGCCGGGAGGTCACCACTGCCATCTGTTTTGTATGTGGGGACGCCACCAGAGACAGAACAGGTGTCCGGGTGGTCTGACCAGAGCCAGTGCCCTGCCTTCCTGAGCCAGCGGCAGAGTAGGACTGACTCCATGTCTTCACGGGTGGCTCCCCAGGCCAGGCTGGGGCTCACCGAGCCGGCACACAGAGCCCTGGCAGTGGCCCGTGGCGCGTGGATGGCACCCTATACCCGTGGGCCCCTGCAAGGAGCAGGTTCTCCTCGTGTGGCCTTAGTGAAAGACCCCAGGTGTGGGAGATGCTTACGGAGACCCTCCTTACCCCTCTCGACATCTGAAATAGGGTCCATTCTTAGGAACTGGGATAATTTTGCTAAGATTCACAATTTATTTTTATCTATTAAAAAGTCTCTTATTTCTGTGAAAAATCGGTGTCTGATTTAGGTTCGCGTCTAACCCTCCTGATCACTCACATCCTCTTTCCAGATCCTCCCTGGGGTGAAGGTCATTATTGCGCACACTGAAACCAAAGGGCCCCTTGGAGACTCACACCTGGGAGAGGTAAGGTAGGGGGCCGGAGCCCCCACGGTCTCAGCAGCTGCCCCGACTCGTCTCCCCAGTCTGTCCCAGTCGGGAATTCTCAGCCGTTTGGGGTCACACATACTTTGGAGAAGCTGTTTTGCTCCTGCCCCTACTGCACCCATTTGTGTGTGGGGGTCCCTCTGGGGTTCCGCAGGATGAAGCCCACCCCAGGGTTGCTCTCCAGCGAAGGGAAACCTCAAGTTTTGTGGGCACTGGGAGGCCCGAGGAGCTGTCCAGACACTGTGATTCCCCTTGAAAAGCAGTCCCCAAGGGAGGGGCTGGCTGGGGGCAGACAGAGGCTTGGGGGGAGGGTGCTCTGTGTCCTTAGGATGCAAGCTTTGTGGGAGTCACTGTGCCGACACAATGTGTCGTGCATGGGAGTGGGTCCTGAGTGACTCGGGGCAGGTGGGACCGTTCCCTGGGGGCCGGGGGCCCAGGCCGCTCGGTTGTGGTGGGAACGTCTCAGGCTTCCAGTTCCAGCCTCTGTGGGCGAGCACCAGGTGGGCACAAGGACCACTGAGCTCTGCTGTGGACAGCTTCTGGGGTCCTGGCAGATGGGGTTCAGGGGTATTTACACAGATGCAGCCCAGTTTGTCTGATGGGGGCCTTCCAGGGGTCGCTCAGTGTCCTGACGGCTCCCGTCCCGGGTGTAGTCAGCATGGGGCCGCCCCTCAGCCCTACCCCTTCCTGGCCAGCTGGACCCAGGCCTGTTAGGGCAACAGTTTGCCCCCAAGGTGGTCATGGAGGGTCTGTGCCAGGCTGGGAACCTGCCTCTTAGGGCAGAAGGCCCTGTTGGCCACCCCGCGTCCTCTTTGAGATGCCGTCTGGGGGGTGTCTAGAACCAGGTGCTCAGTCTGGGGAGCTGACTGTGGGTTCTGGATGGGCCCTGTGTTTAGAAGGACACCCCAGGGGACCCCACAACACTTGGTACCGCTAGCCCGTGTGGGGCCGACGGCTGTGTGGGTGTGTGTAGACTCAGCATGTCCGCAGGGGAGGTTTGGCAGCCATGCCTGCTCTGTCCTGTGAGCCCTCCCTCCCTTCACCTGTCCCCGAGCAGACGTGCAGGGGCTCCCAGAAACCTTCCTAGGGCAAAGAGAGGAATGCTTCACTTAAAGGAGAGAAAAGTTGTTTGCTTGCTTTTCGTGCCTGGAATTTTAACTTCATTCACAAGAGAAAAGAGCTCGCTCTCCCGCCGCCTCTGTTAAGTGTTTCCTTAAGCACTCTGGGCTGGTGACGTCTCCTGACAGTCTGTGTCCAGCATTTGTGATGTGCCAACATTCTCGTCCTCTGAGCCCCGCAGATCTGGGTGAGCAGCCCGCACAATGCTACAGGCTACTACACGGTGTATGGGGAGGAGGCACTGCACGCCGACCACTTCAGTGCCCGGCTGAGTTTTGGAGACACCCAGACCATTTGGGCGAGGACTGGCTACCTCGGTTTCCTTCGAAGAACAGAGCTCACGGATGCCAGTGGAGGTGAGGGTTGCCTCTGGCCCCGCCGCACCGGTGCTGACGTGTGTTGGGGTCTGGCCGCACTGCCCGCGAGCCGCAGCATCTCAGACACCCTGCTGGCTCACCTCGCCCTTTGCTGTGAGCTTGTGTCGTGAGGTGTGGGGGGCAGGGATGTGCTCTGGTAGCAGTTTTCTCTGAAAATGGCTGTTTTGCCCCTGTGGCTGTCCCTCACTGGCCTTGGGCCCTCAGCCTCTGCTGGGGATGCAGGGTGTTGGTGACAAGGCCACCAGGCCCTCCCCACGTGTGACCCTTGAAAGCTGCAGAGTCCCTTGGGCCACCGCAGGTTGCCCAGATCAAGTCAGAACTGGGTGTCCCTACAGATGCTGTTTCATTCCAGAGATGGCACAAATCATTTCACAATGTGTGTTCACACCCTGACGTGGCTCTCCTGAGGTGGTGACTGGCTGGCTCACGGGCGGGAGGCTCAGTCGTCCCACGTAGCATGACTCGGGGCTGACACGGCTACAGATGCGCCCGGTGTCCCCTGGGTGTCCTTCTGAGGTGTGCGAACCGTGTTCGCAGAGCGACATGATGCGCTGTACGTGGTCGGGTCTCTGGATGAGACGCTGGAGCTGAGAGGCATGCGCTACCACCCCATTGACATCGAGACGTCCGTGGTCCGAGCCCACAGGAGCATCGCTGAGTGGTGAGAGCCGCGTCCCGCCTGGCCCAGCCCGCCTCCAGCAGCAGACCCCAGACCTCTTGCAAGCTCTTTCCTTACCTCCTAATCAGTCTCAAACAGTTATCCTGAAGTGTTTCTGCTTTTACTTGAATTTTTTAATTGAAATGGTTGTGACTCCTGATGTCTTCCCTTGGTGGGGAGCTTGAACTGGGTCAGGCACAGCTTTCAGCATCAGCTAATACTCTCGGTTCTTATTCCGGGCTTTAATTAGAATAGAGATTCCTAGAAAACGCAGTTACCCTAACCCTGGCATTGTTAGTGATGTTAAGCTGTGCTGTAATGTCAGCAAACGTTTGTGATTTCTCTCACTGCTCTCTGTTTGGCGCTGTTTCCCGCATGTCCGTGTGGCCCAGGCGCCTGTGCCCAACCCCCGTGTGACGCTGCCTGTCTTGTCCCTGCAGCGCCGTGTTCACCTGGACCAACCTGCTGGTCGTGGTGGTGGAGCTGGACGGGCTGGAGCAGGACGCACTGGACCTGGTGGCTCTGGTCACAAACGTGGTGCTGGAGGAGCATCACCTGGTTGTGGGCGTGGTGGTCATCGTGGACCCCGGTGTGATTCCCATCAACTCGCGGGGCGAGAAGCAGCGCATGCACCTTCGAGACGGCTTCCTGGCCGACCAGCTGGACCCGATCTACGTGGCCTACAACATGTGAGCGCAGCTCCTCCGCCCCGTGCCTCCCACGGCGGGAACCGGCAGAGGCGTCGGGCCACCAGTGGCCACCAGGAGAAGGGCTCCAGTCCTCCCGAGCGTCGCACCCCATCTTCCTCTGCTTGTTCAGATCTGTCTCCAGGCTCCCCAAATCTCACTTGGGAAACCGCTTCCTGGACCATCTGAAGAAGTGTCTTGCTCTTGGAGGACATTTAGGAGAGCAGGAATGTCAGTACTTGAACGGAGGGCTGCGTGAGGGGAGAGGCAGGCCCGGCTCGGGGAGGGGAGGCATTGCAAGTGCGCTACTGTGTTGCAAGTTTGCACTTTTTTTAGGCTCAAAATATAGTTCTTGAATTTAAAAATTCAGTTATTTATTCCCACTTCCTATATAGAATTCATGCTAGGAAGAACTTGAGGCCCCTAGTCCGTGTGCTTCACTTCTGTTTCACAGGGAGGAGCCGAGCGAGGGTGGCAGGTCCTGGCCGCACCACCCCCCCACCCCCCCCCACCCCCGCGCTCACAGGGCACTTCCTGTGCTGGTTGGATGTGGAAATGTGTGAGAACGCGTGTGCCCGATCGTCCGCGTTTGTTGTCACTGATCCTCGGGAAGTGCCACTTGGGGCTGTCAGGTTAGATGCTTGCTTTTGGGCAGATAAACCAGCATTTAGTCTTAAACCACTTCCTAGGTTTGTCACTTCATGCTGTTTAGTTAACTTCCTCGTTTTCCTAACACCACCGGATAAGTCCTTCTCAATCTGTGGAATTGTGTTGAATTGTTATTTTTATTCCTATTAACAGACTTGGGGGCATTGGCGGCAGTGCCTGGGGCGTTCAGATCCTCGGTGCTGCTTGCTGAGCACCCTGCACGGGCTCCAGGGGCCGTGGACAGAGCCTTGTCCCCCGACCCTGGATTTCACAGTTTGAGTTGTGTGCCTATAAAACTTGGCCAAACTGCATTCAGTTATTTTATTCAAACCTGATGAAACTGACTGATCTAATATTATAGTAAAGCTAAATCAAAGAAGAGAATGTAAAATCCTTTAGATACTTAAAAGAATTTGAAGCAAAGCTCAAATCTAAGATTATTTTTATATAGCTATTAAAGAGTATGTTATGAAGTTGTGGGGTTTTGGGGGGATTGAGTGTGGGAAAGTTTATGAATTATGCATGCTTCCTAGGAACAACCAGGTGTTTCCGGAATTAGCCTGGAGCAGTGCCTAACAAAGCTATTATTAATTCTCTACCATTTTAAATTCACCACCAAATGGGCCTGGCCAGCTGGGCCAACTCTCACATCTCTTATTTGGCTACAGGTAGCACGTGCGTATTAGTTCTGTTTTCCTATGGTGTTGAGCTGCGGTGTAATATGTTACAACATACTGGAATCCTAATAAGCCTATTGTAATTATGTACATAATCTGTATAACTTATTGTTTGACATACAGAGGTTCTAGCAGTGGACTAACGGACATTCCTTGTAATAGAGTGACCAGTGGGGAAAAACTACCTAACCCTAATCTCAATGTTGTAGTTTTATAGCAAACAAATATTGTAAAATTTTTGTATTGAGAGGTCAGTGGCAGTAAGACAAAGTGTCTTGTAAATTAAGATTTTAGGAAGCGCATTAAAATGTTTTAAAATTACTCTCTGGGAATTCTGTATATCACACTATAATTTTTTTATATCATTATGTTAATAAAAGGTATTGACTATTTGTAATTCTGCACTTTGAAATGTGTGAAATGTTTTTTAAATTATCCCAAATAGGATGTATTTTATTATGCATTCTTTTTTCTGAATATAAAAGCTTTTATGCTTACAGCATAAAATCTACAAAGCACATTAAAGTGTGAAGAAGAAAATTACGATCTCTCATCCTACCTCTGCGAAATAGCAGCATTAGTATCTGCTAAAAACCCTTTCAGGGATTAATTTTTTCTTTATTAAAATTTTTACAAAATTAGGGTCCTATGCTTTTATATCCATTTTTGTACTTAATAAATTACAGACTTTGAATCTATCACATATATTCTTTCTACATGTTTTAGCTGCTGTATGCCGCGACTGACGGTAGGTTTACCCCTGCTGCCCGCCGGTGGTGGGTGACACACGTTAGCCGCACTGGGTACCCGCCCGTCCGCAGTGGCAGTTGCTGTCTCAGACGCAGTTCCTGCAGGGAGAGTGACCAGGTCAGAGTTCATCCCAGTTTGAAAGGCCATGTGGCGGTGGCCTCTTTCCAGCAGCCCCTGGTATTGGCAACGGACTCTTGGCCAAGATTAAAATAAGTCCTTGCCAAATTGATGGTCAAATAAGTGTCATATCTGGTCATATTAAGTATGTTTTCATGTGTCGTTTGGATTTCTCATTTGATTCGTTCTATTCAGATCTGCCGATTCTTACTGTGCTCAAAGGTTTTTTGGTTGATTTGTAGGAGCCATTTTATATTAAGGATTATAATGTCCATATAGTCCATACTGTGTCTAGTAGGTCATTTGTATCTCGATTCTGTTTGTTTTAGTTTAGGTTTGTTTTTTGTTTTTTTTTAAGATTCTTATTTGAGGAGACACATAGAATGAGCATGAGTGGGGGGTGGGGGGGAGAGAGCAGGGAGGAGAGGGAGAAGCAGACCCCCCTGCTGAGCAGGGAGCCCGACGCGGGGCTTGATCCCGGGACTCCAGGATCATGACCTGAGCTGAAGCAGACTCTTAACCACTGACTGAGCCACTCAGGCAGCCCAATTTAGGTGGTTTTTTTTTTTTTAATGTTCTAAGTATTTTATGCTAACTATGGTTACTTGTGCTTAATTTCAGATTATGAATATAGCTGATTTGTTTCAAAGTGATTCTACTAGGATGGTCAGCATAACCATAATCTGCCCTTGTGGAATGGAGCCTCTACTTTGGGTGAGATACCACTGAGGCAGGGGCCCGATCCCCCCCTCGCCCAGCTCGTAAGATGCTGGTCCCACGCCAGGAGAAGCGAGCTGAGAAGACCTGAGGGTAGTACTGTCCCCAACCCCACGGATCACCAAGCTCTGAGAGTGGGTGTGTCCCTCAGAAGTGTGCCGTTGTTCCCACTCCTGGGTCCAGAGCCCTCACCTGTTGGGAGAAGCAGGCTATAGAACAGGTAGCTCCTTGTCTCTTCCCAAAGGAACTGACTGCATTTGCACCAGAGCATGGAGAAGTTCAATCACAAGGGCACTTTCAAAAACAGTAGGAGTTGTGGTGAAAGGCCACTGGAAAGAGATTCAGAGATTCAGTGAAGGTACTGGCTGAACTGTAGGCCAGCAAATTTTCAGGAGAACCAGGGAGAGAGACTGGGGAAGAACCCTCCTGGGGTTAGAACGACTCTCAAACACTGACCCTGGGAGTTGTTTCCTCTGTGAATCCCACATTGGGTCAAGTTAGGCTCTAGAGCTATCCATACCTCCCCCATCCCAGCATTGCTGAAAACAATAGAACAATCAGCTCGTATTGCTTGAGCTTAACAGCCAGGTGTGGTCAGTGAAAGAGCCTAGAGTCCTGCCCAAACCACTATCACCCAGGGTGACTGTGGGCATGCCCACCGCTGCACCTCCCAAGGAACAGGAATGACACCAGAGGCTTACCACTGCGTGGAGGGGGCCAGTCACTACACACTACAACAACAAGCCCAGGGTTGGAGGGATGGGTGGTAGAGGGAGGGGCAAGAACCCAGAGTTGCTTCAGTGTGCTATCTAGAATGTCTAGATTCCCCCCCAAAATTATGAAGCATGTAAAGAAAAGAAGCATGATCTATACACCAGGAAAAAGGAAGACAACAGAAACTTCCTATGAGATCAACCAGATGTCAGATTTAAAAAAGACTTGAAAGTAGCCACTTAAAATATGTCACAGAACTAAAGGAAGCTATAATTAAGGAAGTAAAGGAAGGTATGATGACAATGTCACGTCAAAGACTATCAATAGAAAGATCAAAATAAAATATAATATTTTATATAACAAGTTTATACATTCCATAGATGTCACTTATATATTACATAAATAAGTTATATAAATATATATCTAAAATATACAGTATATTTACATACATAAAAAAATGGAAATTTCTGGAGTTGGTAAAGTACAAGAACGTAAATGAAAAATTCACTGGAGGGGCTCAACAGTACTTCTGGATGGGGAGAAGTTTCAGCACACTTGATAGATTGTTAAAGATTATGCAATCCAAAGAACAGAGGGGGAAGAAAGATAAAAAAGGAATAGAGCCCCAGAGAAATGTGGGACACCACTAAGCTCACCAGCCATGTGTAATGGGAATACCAGAAGGTGATGAGAGAGAGAAAAAAGCAGAAAAAAATTTGAAGAATTAGTGGCTGAAAACTCCCCCAAATATATTGAAAAGTACTAATCTACACATTAGGGAGCTGAAGAAACTTCAGTTTGGATAAACACAAAGAGATTCACAGGCATAAGCTGATGATCCTTGAACAACATGAGTTTGAACTGCACGGGCCCACTCGTACATTGATTTTCTCCCAGTAAATACCATACAGTACTGTCCATGTATTTTTTTTTATGATTTTGTCAACATTTGCTTTTCTCTAGCTTACTTTATTATAAGAACACAGTATATAAAACACATAACATATAAATATGTGTTAATTGACTGCTTACATTATTGGTCAACAGGAGGCTGTTAGTTAAGTTTAGGAGGTGTCAAAAGTTACACATGGATTTTCAACTGCACAGAGGTCACCATCTGTAACCCTGTGTTGTTCAAGGATCAGCTGTACAGTAAAGATGCTGAAAGTCAAAGGGGAAATCTTGAAATGTGCAAGAGAGAAAAACTTGCCCCTCACAACGAGACTGTCAGCTGAATTCTCAGCACCAATCACAGGCCTGAAGACCCTGGGAGGACATTCAAAGAGCCCAAAGAAAAGAACTGTCAACCAAGAATCATGTATCCAGCTAAGCTCTTTCAGAAGTGGAGGCAAAATAAAGACATTCCCAGACGCTGACCTGCATCACCAGAAATATTAAGTCCCTCAGGCTAAAAACAAGTGATCCCAGATGGTGATTTGAATTCAAATGAAAAAAAAACAAAAACAAAAAAAAACAAGGAGCACTGGTAAAGATAGCAGTAATTATGTAATTATAAAAGATGATATAAATGCATGTTTTTCTCCTTAACT